GATACAGAAAAGACAGGAATGTTGGCAGGAGAATAGGAGGTGAACTAAGTATGATCTGAAATGAGATTAAGGATTGAGGGCACCATTAAATAGGAAGTGTTGTCAGGATCAGATCACATCTTTTAGGACAATAAATAATAATAGAATCCCCAAAGTGACACCTGATGGTACTTTGGTGCCTTCCAACCCCTCTGATGTTTAAAAGATTATTTGAAGTTGAAATAAAATTCAAAAGGAAGCTGGCATGCTACAGAGCAAAGCACCAACATCTAGAATCATCTTGATTTTCCTGAATGCCCCTGGAGGGCACCATATAAGCATTCTTAGAAAATCAAATGGTGCATGGCTGGATTCTATTCTGAAGCTTTGCTTGTAAATGTGCCCATTTGCCCAGATAAAATACAAAGATAAGTTATGAGTTGCTAGCAAGCACTATATAGTGGTAGAAAGGCAGCCACTTCTTTTAGTAAACTGGCATTTTTTGAGTGGCACACCTACTTCAGCATCCATTTGGAGAATGGGCAAACCATGGGAGCTATTTTCTTTGAATGCCCACGATATACTCTCAAAGAGTCAGATGTGTCTAGGGTCCCATTCCCCCTGCCCCTAATTGATGATCCCCATAATAGATTTATTGGTACATCAGACTTAGTTCTGCATGGATGGCCTAGAAAGACATCTACAAGAATGTCTGTAGACTGATGTAAAGAACCTGTGGCCCTCCAGATTTTACTGAACTACCACTCCCAGAATTGTCCACCATCAGCCATGCTGTCTAGAATAGCTAATAATTGCCGTTCAGAAACTTCTGAAGGGCTACAGATTCCTAACCATCATCTTAAGGGACTTGCACATTTGGTCTCCAAAGATAATGTTTTAACAGAGAGTTCACTCTATTTTCTTTTCACATGCAAGATGCGTTAACTGAAGCCAGTACTGGCAAAAACATTGAGAAGATAAGAAAAAGGTTTTCACAAAAAGTAGAAGAAGGAAAGAACTATGTAAATGAATGATGATGAAATCGGTATTCTAACTCTTCTGTTCTCCTGGTCTGGGTCCTTCTGCCACCTCTAACTTTAAAAAGTAGAAACTAAAGGTTTTCTTCCTATGATGGAAATGCTGCTGATAATGGGAAAGAAGGGCTTTAAATCCAGCCCTTAATCTCTACACTGTTGGATGAAAAAAAAAATACTGTGGCCATAAACAATCTTGGAAGTTCTTTTCAAATAAGCATGATTTATACAAGAAGCTCTTCACTGAGAGAAAGAGCCATATTTCAATGGAAAATAAAAAGTCATGTGTGGAGAAGCCTCAGTTCCCAAGTATACCTGTGAAAACTGGTATCTTAGAAAGCTGATGCCTAGATGGTATTGGCTGTCTTGATCTAGTATAACACTTTCCAGTGACCCTTATTTCAATTCTCCTCTATGGAGAACAAAAGTGTTGCAGTGGTTAAGGCACCAGGCTAGAAACCAGGAGACCAGAATTCTAGTCCCCCTATAGGCACAAATGCAGCTGGGTGACCTTGGGTCAGTCTCTTTTTCTCAGCCTTAGGAAGGAGGAGGCATGGGCAAACCGCTTCCAAAAATTATGCCAAAATAACTGCAAGGACTAATCCAGGAGTCAACACTGATTCAAAGATACCCAAAAAATAATTTCAGTTAGGATTGTGTAAGAAATGTGTATCGTGTCTTATTATCCAAGGTGAAAGTGGTAATATTTGGAGACACAAAGTTTAGGGCTATGGTATTTGGCCTACATCCAATAGATAGAACCTCTGTTGCCATCTAGTTTTTACCTGGATTTTTGCAGCCCTGCTATGCAACCTTCACAAGTTCCTTGTTCTGCTCTGTTTATGAATCATTATTTTCTCAATCTAGAAAGCTCCAATGTGAATTTTGAGGAAGAACCTACTTACATCAATACAGAATCATATAGCAGGTAATTATGTAGACAAGCAGGCTTTCCCTGCACTGGGACTGATATGTGCGCAGCCATTATCATCATGCATCCCTAGTTGCTGTTTATGTCTTCTCGTCAGAGATAAAAATAATTCTAATTAATTTAATGTGAAAGCATGTTTTTACACAGTCCCAGATGCAAAATCTGGTAAATTCTATTTAAGGAATCTTAAATCTAGTTTCCATCTAAAACAAAGCGAATTCTTTTCTTTTCAAGCTCTAGGTGAATGACGACATTTGTGAATATTGTCTAATGTAAATGTTTCTCTTAAAGTAGAAAACTAGCTTATCAGAAATCAGAGAGTTTTTTTTAACTAAACTGTTTGCTTGCTGGGCAGCCTTTCTAACTGCAACAAAGCTTTTATTTTGGTGTGAATGTTTAAAAAGAGGTTTCCAATACAAAGCATACTAATACTTCAGCTTCACATTATTAAGTTGCTTGTGTGAAGCGGGCTCATGGTAGCAAGGACTGAGAAGGGCTTATGCTGAGATACTGAAATATCAGAGTGTGCAATGGAACTGGAGGGATTCAATGGCAGAAGTGGGTATAAGGTGAGACTGTGGTGATGAAATGGACTCAGCAGGGTGATTAAGTTCCCAAACTAGCTAATAATCGGGAGGAGTCTGGTAGCATCTTTTCAGACCCACACATTTGTTAGTCTGAAAGGGTAGTACCAGATTTTTTCTGATTTTTGGCTACCATTGACTAACAAGGCTCTCCTACAAAATCAGCTAATGTGATTTCAGATTGCATTAACAATATAGTTAAACCATATCATGAGAACCAACAATTATTTCCCAGCTCTCAAGATAGAGACGTCTGTTGTTGAGAAATTAGTATCCTAAATCTACTTTTTTTTAATGGGTAAACCTGGGATCCAGGCAAAATCTTTCCACCTGTGATTAAAATCTTCAAGGGATGAAATCCAAGAGGAGGAGTTAGAGGCCTAAAGCATCCCAACCCAACACACCAGAAGACTGGATAACAACACTGGACTATTCTACAGGGCTGTCCTACGTCGCTCCTTACAGCTCCTCCTTGCCCTGCCTATCAGCATCATATTTCTGTCTTACTTTGCAGACGGGGCATAATTCATCACTATCTCCCAGAGAGTGAATCTTGATTTTGAAAATATTTATGAAGCATTCACGGGCTTCATCTGCTCATATTGGTAGGATCATTTTTAGAAATCTGCAGAAATGACAAGCCTCCACACTATTAAAAAATAAAATAAAACGTGAATTAATATTAAAAGCTTCTGTTTTCATTCCTACATGTTTGGGCATAGACACAAATTCACTCACCCCACAAATAATATGGATTTTTAAATAATAATAACAACAATAATAACAACAACAACAACAACAACAACAATTATTATTATTATTATTATTATTATTATTATTATTGACAGCAGCAATCACTCCCCTCCAAGGAAGATGTCAGGCTATTGTTATGCTATTAATTCCTTGGCCAAAAATGCCGAAAAGCAGGAAGATAAGCCTTCTGCACACAAAAGGATCAGAAATAGGATTACACATTTTGGCTTTTCTTGGATTCTAGAGGGCTGGAGACTAGTTCTTTTTTTTAAATTAAATTGGGAATCCCCCTCCCCTCCCCGGGGATACCCATGATTCAATTCTTTCTAAAGGATATGAACAAATCTAAACAGGTTAACAAAACAATGGCTTAAGATTGTGAAGAACAAGTCTTAACAGCAAAGTTGGAACAAACTGGACTTTTTTAGCATAGAGAAGGCATGTTAATACTGTCACAGAGAGCACAGAGGCAAGACTGAATCTAATGGGCTTGCGAATCACAGTATCATAAAGTTACTGAACATCGTATCATAAAGCTAAATTCAGGAGACAGGACAGTTCTGAACAGTAAGTTTGCAATGATTCAGAGCAAGGATGCAATCTTGAAGACCAAGGGCTGCACTTAATATGAGCAGGAGTGTGGGAATGAGGGCTGCAAAAAATGGATGGAGCCACATAATATACGGGAACAAGAATGTTGTTTTAGGGGGAATGGGATTCTTTATTTTTTCAGTTGGGGTATGTTTATTTGAGGGCTTGTGCTTTAACATTCACACCTATCCCCCACAGGGCAGGAAGCTGGCTTATCCATTTCCAGCAATGGAAACTGGCCAGATGACTCTGAAAGCTACAAAAAAAGGCCTTGAGGGTTGCAGATTGTCCATCTCTGACCTAGAGGAATGGTGTTTCCCTTTGCTTCAGAAGTTTGTTGGTGATGATCCCATCCAGTCACCTTCCTTTCTAGGCCTCCTGCATAAAAACTGGCAAAAATTGCTTCAATAGCTAAAGAAGCTCATTTTTCACCCCAAAGGGGTTTTGGAATCATACTGAATCACCTAGCCTTTCACAAAAGATTCCAGCCCTTGAAATGTGCAACTTGTAGCAGATGCTGTAATACTGTAGGATAGATCTTACTCAACTGAATGATTACCTACAAATCTCCTATCTTTAGTTTCTCCTTGCTGTGTTACTAATTTGCATTCTGTCTATATTTTGAGCAATTCAGAGAAAGGTGGTCTGGGCATAACTTAACAGATAAATCCTGTATGGGCTTTGTCTAAAGCGATAGCTAAAGAGCTATTTGAATTTCAGCTGTGGCTCCTGTAGGATTTGCAGAAACAACTGGAATTAAGTAGACACAGGCAATATTGCATGGAGATAGAATAAGCAACAGCTATGCAACAGTAGAAGCCTAAAGTTCTATGATTACTTACATTATCCACCCCTAAAATAAAGGGGCTAGTTTTCACAAAAAGGGAAGGGGCAAATGTAATAAACGTCTCATGAAACAGAAGAGACACCCCTGAGATGCACAAAGAAGATGCCTCCTCTTAAGTCAGGGTACATCAGGGTTTCACAATGTTTTGGGGCCAGTAGGAACATCTGGACTTTTGAAAGCATATTGCAGGCACACTCACAAAATGGCTATCACGATAGACATCACCAACTGCAATACAACCGTTACAAAAAGACAAACGGAAGAGGTTGCTCTCTGCCAACCCCTCTACCTCCTGCAACACACACACACACACAAAGGCAAAGACTTCTAAGCACTGGGCTGCAGCTACTCATTCTATTTTGCTAGAACCTCTTTGTGGTTTAAGCCTGGAGGCATTACTGGAAACACAGGTGATGTTTAAGAAACCTGCTTTGCTGTATAGCAGGCTAGTTTCCCATTATTTAGAAGTGATCCTGAATATGCCCTTTTGATCATGATCTTGCTGGTCACAATCATGAATAAAAGGGCGTATTCAGGATTGCTTCTAAATCATGGGTCAACTGGCTTAGCAAGCATTCCAGGAGTTAGACTGTTCTCTTTTAGTGGCTTGAAAACAATCTCTTCAGGGCTCGTGTCTGCAGTAGCTCTGCCTCAAATTAGGGCATCCCCTGCCATAGGCTACGGTGATGACTGCTGCCTTTGTAAAGGAGTACAGGCTCCTGGAGGGTTATTACCTGGGATAGCTCTACATTGTGTAATAGTGTCTACCTGGAAAAGGTGATAAACCAGGGACAGCAACTGCCCAACACCCCACGCGCATGAGCTTCTCAGAAGCATCTAGCTAGCCCTGCATCAAGTAGTCTGCTGCATTAAACTGGACCTTGGTCTAATGTGGCAGGTCCTTTTTTCAGCACATGGTCAGGTGGAAGTTGATGTACTCCAACACCTTCAGATGAAGAACAAATCAACTTCCAGATATAGCTGAAGTTTAGCTCTAATCAACATGGCCAGTGGTAAGGGTTGTGGGGAGCAGTAACGCACCAACTGTAGAGCTGTAGGTTACATACTCTTGCTTTCACCAAAAGAGCTCCTTGCCTGAATATCTCTGAAATGCTTAAGTATTTTAGTGCCAAATGTATTTTAATCTTCAGTTCTATCTAGTGCTCTTAAAAAGGCATTACTTTACAAACTTGGCTGAGTAACTTAAGAAAGGAAGACCATTCAGATCCTTAAAAGTATGAGAGGAAACAACTGTATTCACATTCCTGACAATCTCACTGGTCCAATGAAATTAACGGTTGATCGTTTTTATAACAAAGCTTTATGTAAGTATGTAAAAAAAACACATGCAAGTCATATGAGAAACAGCATTGACAACTGTATTCACATCTGCCAAATATATGCTAAGCTGTGTGCTCATACTTTGGTTGCACAAAGCAGCTAGTCCATATGCAAAATCTCCTCCTTGCTATCCATCCTCTCAGCCTGTGGTGGGAGCAGCAGTCTTCTGGCAGAGGCGGGCTAGCAATCCTGCCATCTGTAGCAGCGAATTTACCCCTTCTACTATCTTCATATGCGTATAACCGATTTCCTAATCATAGAGGGGGAAAAAAATTCAATTTTTTTTACCTTTCCTGCTGTAGAGAAAAGATACAACATTTCACTATAAATTCATGAAGTCACGACTGCTATATTTTCATGTTGCAGCTATGCACTCGCAAACTGAGATATGAAAGAGGAAACAATACAGAGGAAATACCTGAATCAAACAAGGGCATCCCTGAGTAATGCAACAATAGTGTTACACCTTGCCCCAAAACTATCCTTGGAATTCCCACCACCATTTAATGGCAGACAGTTGTCTTTACTAGAGAGAAAAAGGATGGATTAAAAATCATGATATGTCAGTATATATACAAGCAGGGACATATCATCTCTGGACCAGGAGGCCCTCCTGACGTCACTCAAGCACTAGTCACCTCATGGTTGGATTACTGCAGTGCTTCTACATGGGGCTGTCCTTGAAGATCACTTGGAAGCTGCAGCTGATCCAGAGTGCAGGGGCATGGGCAGTGTTGGGCATGCCTCAGTACACTCATGTGACATCACTGATCATCGCCTCTAAAGCTTAGTACTAGGTTATTTGAGGAACTGCCTATCTCCCATGGTCTCTGCCCATCCAGTAAGATTTATTTTTTATTTTTTATTTGATTTGTATGACCATCTCATCTAAGCAAGTCTGGGCGGCTCACAACAGGTAAAAACATTTTTTTATTTTTTTATATATCAAATTTGTCACCAGCCATGTTGTTGAACAACACTGGGCGGTTTACAAAACAGTTAAAATCAATTAAAATTACAAAATTATGATAATAAATAGAAAATAAATAGATCCAAGAATAACTGGCAGTCACTCAGGGAGCATCATCAAGGCGCTAGCCATCCCCAAGGATTGGGTAAGGTTGTTATCACCCCATGCAAGCTGGCAGAGCCAGGTTCTTTCCAGAAGGCTGGTAGGGTAGGGGCCTGCCACACCTCTGGGGGGAGAATGTTCCAAAGGGCGGGGGCAATAGCAGAGAAGGCTCTCCTGAGCTCTGCCAGCCAACATTCTCTCACTGACAGGACCCGCAACATGCCGTCTCTGCCTGACCAGGTGGGAAGGGTTGATGTGACGGGGGTGAGACGGTCCCTCAGGTAACCTGGACCCATGCCATGTAGGGCTTCAAAGGTGATAACCAACACTTTGAATTGGACCCGGAAGCAGACTGGGACCCAATGCAGCTTGCGTACTAAAGGTGTTATATGCGCCATTCTTGGGGCACTCAAAATTGTCTGCGCGGCCACGTTTTTGACCAGCTGTAGCTTCCAGATATTCTTCAAAGGTAGCCCCATGTAGAGTGCATTGCAATAGTCTAGCTGAGAGATGACTAGGGAGTAAGTGACTGACCGGAGAGCCTCTTATCCAGGAAGGGGGATAACTGGCGTACCACACGGAGATGGGCAAAGCATCTCCTGGCTATGACTATCACCTGCTCCTTGAGCAGGAGTCGTGAGTCCAGGAGGACCCCCAGATTACACACCAGGTCTGTCCGGGGCAGTGCAACCCTGTCCAAAACCAAAGATGGTAAATCCTTGGATACAGAGGGGCCTCCAATCCATAGCCACTTCACCTTACCAGGGTTCAGCTGAAGCCTGTTGCACCCCATCCAAAAACAATCCAATAAAAACAAGTTAAAAATCAATATACAAACATACAAAAACCATCTGTAATCAATTTAAAACAGAAAATCATGATCCATGGCAGAAATCATTCTACATCAGCTCAACGTAGCCATTGAAAGAGCTCTCCACCACTGCCAGACCCCCAGGCAAAGTGGCAGAGCCACATCTTCACGGCATTCCAAAAGACCAGGAGGACTGGGGCCAATCTAAGATCCAAGAGGGATGATGTTCCACAGGGTGATGCCATGGCAGAAAA